CTAAGATCGGAATGAAAGATGTGGTTCGAAAGTTTTCTTTAGGTGTTAGATTTTCAATTGCATCAGATGCATTGCCATCATTCACTTGTCTCTTCCTTGTTTTTTTCTACTTGTTGCATCTTTGCAGTCTACATCCGGTAAGGCTTCTAGTGCTTTTTGTTCGATGTTCTCAAATTGGTTTCGAGTGTCTTGTACGAATGTTATATGTGTGGAGTATAGATTCGAACATGTAGTGATGGACGTCATCGGGTCTTGAAGAGTTTTAGATACCTTATGGAATTCATTTAAAATGTATTTCCAGAGCTTCATCATAAAAACAAATTCCAAAGATTCCATTCTACCAGCAATAGAAGAAGCTGCAAGTCTCGTGTCTCCTTTCTCTTCTTTATTGTCAAAAATACTGTGTAACGTATTGACAATATCATCGAAACTGGTCAATAGCTGAAACAGCTTCCGAATAGCAATTCCATCTAGTGTCAGACAGGCGTTTCAGCTTTAACGCCTTTGCTCCTATAGATTCCTCAAGAAGTGCCCAACGATGTGTAGATGCCGAAAAGAATGTGTAAGCTTCTTGAACGGTAGAGAGAAAATTCACTGCTTCCAAGCATGAATCAACTGCAGCACGCCCAACCAAATTTAACGAATGAGCCGAGCAGGGAATGTAAAAAATCGCATACTTGTTTATTTCGCAAAGTTTTGCCTGCATACCTTTGTATCGTCCTGACATGTTCGCTGCGTTGTCATATGACTGTCCTCTTTTTAAAATTTTAAAATGTATTAATGAATATAGTTTTTGAATTAGATATTTAAAACGTTTCTTTCATAAGTGTTTTATAATTGTATAATAATTATAAGTTTACTAATACATGTATTTATTTAAATACAACGATTTGCTTCCAGAAAATCGCAAGTTATATACCACTGTATAAAAAATAAAATAATTACAATTTGATTGAAGATGAAAATCCGGATGACTCCTAATATAGTCAAATTTCTGAAAAATTAAGACAAAAATCTTAATAATATGGCAAATATTAAGGCAAAAACTTACTAATTGTAATCAAATGACGAAGTTTAGTCTTCTCGCCTTCTATTTCGCAAATCTTTCGATAATGTTGTCTACATTTACATTTACAACTAATACACATTATGCAATTTCATGAAATTATTTGTTTCAAATAATAAATTTAATTATTATATAAATTATTATAATCAAATTATATAACTAATTGAATAAAAACTGTACTACCAAGAAAAAGTAAATTGTTTCCTTGGATCCGCCACTGATGTATGCTAACCGATTCTAGCGTTCTTCCGTTTTAGCATTTCATCTTACACATTGTTTGAGGCATAAATATCTATTTGGTCTATATAGGCCTCCTCTTTTGTCCTGAGGGCCCCCATAGGTGTTAATTTGAGCATGAAAAATGTTGAGGTTTGCATAAAAAATTTACATATTCGGTTATAAGTAAAGGAAATAAAGTATAGTTAATATTAGACTAATTTAACATGTAATAAATATTTTTAAAAAATGTTTTGAAATTGTACATTTTGTTACACAGTAGACTAGTTGATTAACAATTATTTCACAAACAAAAATATATGGTATGCGTATTTTTCCGAAACGTGGGGCCCCTGGTGAATGGGGGCCCCCAAGCAACTGCTTTGTTTTGCTTGTAGGTAAATCCGGCCCTGGTACGTGGACCGATCGGTGACCAGAAGAAGGGCAGGTGGCCCGCGATTGGCGGCAAAACGTCTGTCTGTGAACGTTAGCGGCTAAACTGTTCAGCCGAATTTCTCCAAAACTGATATTCTCCCATCGATCTCGGTGATGCCATGGTCCCTTGATTTCGAAACTGGTATTTTAATTTTTGGGGTACTTTACATGAAGCACCTGGGACATTAAAAAAGGCTCCATCGTTTCTTTTTTATTTTGTAGTTGGCTAGTGTGAGGGACGTTTAAGTGAATGGAGCAGGTCTCATTTTCGTCGAAAACTGATTTTTTCGAAAACTGCAAAAATTCAAAATCTTTCCGGTGTCTTCCTACAACTACAATTATGAAGTTACAGATTTTTCCAGTAATGAAATCTGTTTCTAAAAGAAAGAATGAAATAAGGCCATGTATTTATTTCGGAATTTTGGGTAGTATTTTTCGCCTAATTTTGCGTGATATTAATGCAATTTTTAATTTTCTGTAAACATTTTTTTTCTCTAAAACGGCCCCATCGTTTTTTTATTTAATGTTGTTGGATAGTCTGAAGGACGTTTAAGAAAATGGTGCAGATCTTGTTGGTTAAAAACCCAGAATTTTCGAAAATTAAAAAAAATAAATAAAAACTATTTCGGCGTCTTTCTACAACCACAATTATGAAGATACATTTTCTTCTTGATGAAATGTGTTCATCAAAAACAGGTCTTCAAATAAGGTCGATTGTTTGATTTTTTTTATTTATTTATTTGGCCACAAACATTAGTCGCCCGCTCTCAATTTACTGCGCTTCGTGAACGTAAAATGAATGACAATGCTACCTAAGTTAATATTTGTATACCATTTCATATTATTATAATACTTACACTATTTCATTTTAAATTGCCTTAAAATGTGAAAACGAATAGATGATTTTGCTTTGCTTAATAAGATATGGGAATAAAGAGTAATGCATAGAAAAAGCCAGCAATTTTGATAAATATTATATTTTTCTATCCATTCTCATTTTCTTGCTAGCGGTATCAACAATGCTACTTGGCGAAATGTGTATCCCATTCGAATTAACTGTCAATGTTGCTTATTGTAACGGCTCATTGATAACAGAAGGCGATAATCACAGCTGCCTTTCGTTCGCGTAAATATAAACTAATACTTTCATATGTATTGAGAATATTACAATACTATAGTGCTTAATACTTACTATTATATATTTTTATCAATATAGTACTATTTATTAACCTTTAATTACTTTACTTTCTCGCATACTGCTTATGCAGAATATTGTACGTAGCGCGAAAAACTAGTCCGATATGTTCGTGACATTGCATACCGTAACACAATGAATTCAATGCCAGAAATATATTTTCATTTAGTTTAGAATAAAATATCTATTGCTTGAAAATATTTAATTTTTGCACCAATGTTCTACGATTTCAAATAAGTTTTACAAAAACTGATTGAGACGTGTTAATTTGGAGAAAAATTGTGGTATAAATATAATTACATAACCATTATTGCAGGCAAGAAAGTACGTGCTGTTTAGCACTTGTTTATGTGGACCCCATCTTAATGCGTTGGTTGCGATGAGCCAACTGCATGTTTACGAACGTAAATAAAAAAGGTTTTAGAGAAAATTATGGTTTAAAATTGCGTTTCACGCAAATTCGAATATTTCCGAAAAAATGGACACGAACATGTTTCAATATCTACTTTGTGATAATTCCATTAAGAAACAAATTTATATCTTCAATATTGAACCTGTGGGAACACTGAAAAATTTGTACCTTTAGTAATTTTCGGAAATTCTTTGTTCAACAAAATTGCGACCAACACTACTTTCTTTACAGTTCTTACCATGATACGAGGAAGAAAATTTAAAGATTTTTTATGAATTATCCATTACTAGGAACCCACTAAATAAGTGTTTCTGTTGAAAAATTGCAGTTTTTTAACATAATAATGTAAGTAGTATACAAGGAAAGAAAGAAAACAAATATAAAATAAGATATTTAAATTTGGTTTTGTAAGTCATTAATTTTTATCTTTACATGTTAAACCATTTGATAGTACATGTTGGCATGCATATTTTACCATGTGGAAATACAATCTCATTTTTAGTTATTATTCAAATTGCAATTCAATTGAAAAGAAAAGAAAGTAAGAAATTATGAAAAGATGTATCTTTTAATTCCTTAACACTTATTTGAATGTTCACAAAATTAAAACTGCATGTTCAAATAAATAGGATTTCCTCTAATTAAAATTGAGTCACTGAACATGAGAAATTGCTTTTGTACAAAGCAAGGTTGTGCAAAGTAGTATGATTATGTATCACTTATGTAAAAACATGGTGTGAATTATCAGTGTTTTTGGATTATTTGTTCTTGTATATGAAATACTTGGCAAGGACTTCACAATCAAATGTCAGACATAAAATGTTTTGCTAATATATTAAAAAAAACATACAAAATATTACATTACAATCAATAATTGAAACAATAAATAAATTTAGGCATAAAACTGTAGATGAACCAATGATTCTCAACCTTTTTGTACAAAGTATCATTTTCACAAGAAAATAACACGCAAAATATAAATTCTTACACTGCAATTAATTTAAGTAACTTTTATACACGCAAATTCAATCTGACATTCTTGGAATGGGTAAAAAGACACAAAGGTAGGCCATGTCCAACATTCTACTTTGTGAGGCTCCATGAGAGCAAAACACATTCTGGAAGTAGCCATCACATTCTGGAAGTAGCCATCATAGTGAACCAGATGATGCAAAGGTTCTCTATGGAGCACTAACATTTCATCAATTAAATTATCTAATTTAAATTTTATACATATAAATATGTAGTTGACATTTTATTATAAGAACAATAATGCCTACATAAAACAACATATGGCACTTTTTGAATGGAGATCACAAGCAATGACTACTCCATTTATAAATACGCTTTTAAAGCAATAAGCAATACTAACAGCACTCTACTGCAAAATGAAGGAGCTGAGAGCAGACACCAAATTACCAATTTATATGGATACACACATACACACAGCTGGTTGAGAAACACTGGAGTAAATCACTGGTTAAAAATTGATATTTAGCAACATAGTAGGTTTAAGGTTGACTCACTACAGTCATATTGTGATTAAATAATTTTTCTTGCATTACAATCTTAAAGCTCAACATTCACAACATATTTTACCATCTTGAAAGATAAATTTTAGTGCTGTTTTT